AGGTAGGCTCCTTGTCAACATGCACATCACGTGCGGTCACACCGGGGATGTCAAACCACCGCCAATAACTTTGAATGACACCAACTAATAATATGTATTGAATAAAGCATACGGAAATGCTAATATTTATCTACCATAAACGAGCCAATGTAGTAAGCTGGTGAGCAACAAATCCGCCATAAGTTCAAAATGTCTGACCATATATTTTTAAAGAATAATGCTACAAACGCGGAAATGTTAACGAAAGTAACCACCAGAAGCTCAGGCTGTGAGTGCAAGTTAACATATTATACAGGTAGACGTTAAAATGAGGTAAAAATATATGATTATGATGAGGAGTAAACCCACCAGCTGAAATAATGAAGCTCAGCACGCGGTTAGTTGATGATTGGCGACATCCGGTTTCGGATTTGCCTGTCACTGTGGCCAGCCACAGGACGCTTGCGTCTGCAGAGGGACCATGAGTGGCTTGCGCTGCACCACACACAGCTCCGACCACACAACCCATATCCAGTGTAAACCTGAAGGAATAAGACCGGGAGGCATGTGGATGGGAGCCACGTTTCATCAACGGAGCCTGCCCACACTCCTACACAAGCACGCTGTATTTGGGTATCAAGGGCACATATGGCGGCGGCTGGACTGAAGTCCGCTTCAAACTGAGTGCGTGGCACCACTCGATGTTCTGAGAATCTTCTAGCCGAGTGATTGTATACACTGGGCCTCGCCGGTTGACCGCCTTCAAGAGGTTTCCTATCACTTGGGTCACAAGTAAGAGCGCATTGATGGTCCCAGTAGTTCACCTTTGAGTCGATCTGAAACTCAACACTCATCGCATCATTGTCAGTATGGGACTTCTCTATCCTCTGCACCCAAGTTGCCTTTAGGTTACGGTTGACTGCCTTCCCGTTAAATAGTGCCTCTGGGAAATATTCGGCAAGTTGCCCACATTACGACCTCGTAATATACAGGTAAGCGAGGAGCTCGAGCGTACGTCAATTGGTATAAAGATTTGTTTGAGGAGGCCTGCTTGGATGCTCGATGGGTCAGTATCTGTAGTGGCAAAGCTTCCTATCAGTCTCCACCCTTTACCGCTAGCCACTCTAATCGTTCTATTGTTATCTTCCGTCAAGCCGTTTGTCTGCGGGTAGTATGGAGTTGCCCGCATTTGCTTAATACGAAGTTTCGTCAAACAGTCCCGAAATTCTGCACTCTCGAAGCATGGACCCTGATCGCTTAATATGGCCTTTGGGATTCCGTGATCCGTTATCAAATGTTTCATGACAGCAGGGGTAATGGTGGTTGCTCGTTGATCTGGAATTCCCGTTGCTCCAATCTAGCGCGTGAAGTGCTCCATCGTTAACAAGGTGAATTGGTCGCCCCGCTTGGTCAATGGAAACGGTCCCATCACGTCAATCGACCATAGCCCACCAATTTCCGATACCGGAATTACTGGTTGTTTTGCTCCTCAGCAGTTGATTTTTAAGAGCTGGCATTGCTTGCACGAAAGCACGTATGTCTCGACGCCCACCTTCATGCCCGGCCAATGGGCGCGTTGTTTCAACAGATACTAGCTCCTGGAACAACCGTTGTGTGCCATCTCGTGATAAATAACCACCAGCCTCCGCCTTAGTTTCGTCGGAAAAACCGGCATCGATGTGCTGTTACCTCCAAGTATCCACATCATGATCCCGCTTCATTTACCTGTATCTTTTCAAGATTTCTAAAAAAACGGTTGGAGCTGCTTGTGTTGGCTCTCGTTTAAGACTGACTGACCGGGTAATCGTGCAGTGACCACTTAGCCAAAGTGAACTTATCTTGTTCCAGTAGCTCGTACAAGAGTGAGACCGAATTGTTGAATTATTGGACGAATTAGCTGTAGTAATAAGAACGGCCCAGGAGCGCTCTGAGATTGCGATTTGAGGCAGGAACTGGGGTACATTGTATGGTCAATATTTCCTCAGGCAATGGCTTCAGCTTACCTTGTTCCAGTTTATGGCCCAATAAGGTGACAGAAGTCTTCCCAATCTGGGACTCGGTCCATTTATACCGAGTCCCGATTATTGAATCCGTTCCAAAACTGCCTCGAGATGACCGCTGTGCGCCACCTCTGATTGGCTACACATCGCAATATCATCCCCACACATATACATATATATATATATATATATATATATATATATATATATATATTTGGTTGGCGGCATCCGGTTTCGGATTTGCCTGTCACTGTGGCAAACAACAGGACGCAAGCGCCTACAGGGCGACCATGGGTGGCTTCCACTACACCACCCACAGCTCCATCTCCACACCCCATATCCAGTGTAAACCCGAAGTAATAAAACCGGGAGGCATGTGGGTGGGAAACACGTTTCATCAACGGTGCCGGCCAACACTCCTTCACAGGCAAACACAAGCACGCTGTATTTGGGAATCAAGCGCACACAAGGCGGTGGCTGGCCCGTAGTCCGCTCCGCACTGAGTGCATGGAACCACTCTTTGATCCTAACACGGCCACAAGAACCGTGCACCCCGTCCCCTCCAGCAACGACAAACTGTCTCCTGGAGCCAGTATGAACGAGGTAGTGGGTAATAGACAGGTAGGCACCTTGTCAACATGCACATCAAGCGCATCCAGACCGGGGATATCAAGCAACAGCCAATCACTTGAGAGAAAGATAACAAAGTGAATAAATCGAATAATGCATAAGGAAGCAGTGACAAATCATAATCAGCATATGAAATAAGTTGTTTACAAAAGAATCCGAGGTAAGTTCAAGAGGTCAGCAAGTATAGTTTACGGAAATGCCACAAACACGAACATGCTATGGGAATTACTACAATTGGCTTAAGCGACGTGTGCAAGTTTCTAGAAGGACGTTCAAGTGGACATTTATATGAGAAAGAAAGGCATTAGGACAAAATTGCAAACCCACCACCTGAAATAAAGAGACTTAGCATGCAAGCACGCGGTTAGTAAGTCGAAAGCAGCGTACCTACAAACGCTGCGCCGGTTCTGCCTACGTTCTCTGCAGGACCCGTCGTCGCTTCTTTAGTGGTCCGGAGTGGCCTCGCTCTGGGCTCACTAAGCCTGCCTGACTCAGGCACTCGCGACCGCATGTTCTACAGCACCATGCGCTTGATGTCGATGGAGAACTACCCATCGGCGCTTGCCGCTTCCGCACTTGCCGCTTCTGCTCTGCATGCATGAAGGCTTTCTCCTGCACCTCAGCAACTGCTTTCGTGATTAGATCGCGCCATCCACGCCGATCAACCGCCTTCGATTCCCATGACCTGCAATCAAGATTAGAACGTGAGAGGCTCACTTTGATCATGTCCTGGTAACGTAACTTTGGTTTCCCCGCATGTCGCTCTCCAATATTCAGCTGACGTGTAAGGTTTGTTTCGGTGTCGGCGTCGATTCCGTATGCCGCACGTGACGGATCCACCTCAGGTGTCTCAGCAAAGGTATGCATCCCACTTTATCACATCACCCGTGTCCGCAACTCTGTCGCCCCAACCGATGCGCCGAACCGATGCGATATATATATATATATATATATATATATATATATATATACATATACATATCAGTTTGTTCACTTCAGTAGTTTGAACAACGGAATGAGAAGGCGAATATTGGCGGATGTTGGCATTTCTTATTGTCTCGTCAGCACCGATACAATAACAGGGAAATCCTTTTATATGTTTACTAGGGCACAGTTAATTCAATGAAATTTATGGTTGTCGTCATTTTTGTTGGGAATGGGACCACGTGAACCGTGATAATCACGTAATAAATGGCAAGGTTCACCTACTTCTTGAGCGCACAGGCCAGACATTGCTGAAATTCCTTTGTTGGGTGTAATTAAGACCAACCTCGGCAGCTTTTCGAATAACAGCTTTAACCTAAAATTCTACTTAATAGATTCAGTCAAACTACCGTCAAGTTTCAGAAGACGCCTGAACAGCCGTTTAATTCTCTTGCGACAAATCAGCATGGTAGTTTCCATCAATCCCTTTGAGGCTATTCGAATTTGCGATCAAACACTTTTTAAACAGCATGGAATGTACGTGTGGGCCACGATGTACCTGGTCATCTGACATGAATAAGTAGCAAGTTGTGAAATGACGCTACCCCCGAAATGAGTTGGGATGCTTGAGTAATTACATATGTATAATCAGGTCATTGGTTCTAGTCTTAGATCAGACAGTGGAAATGTGTACACCCGAGGAGTCCCAAAAGGAAGAAACAGACTTTCAGTGCTTTTCAGGCTTGCTGGTTGACTGGCTAGGATTATTTGTGGTTAATTCGACAGTATTTCTAGACCACATAACTCTCCCTACTACTTCCTTCTGCAAACCGCTAGAAGCAGATGCATACTGAGTGCCACCCACTCGCAACGCACTGCACTCCAGGACAGATTTCGCACTCATAAGGCAGAGATGGCAGGACTGGGACTCGGATCCGAGACCCGTTGGACATCGGCATGAATCTCTAACCGTAGTCCACCAAGTTGCTACGCTTTCCACAGACTCTACTAACTGATTGGCGAGGTCATTTTTGAGGCCCACTTCAGATGGGGTCCCTGTTTACGAATTGGCCAAAGTTCACCTTCAATTGAAGCCTTGTTCAGAGGTTAATTGAGTATCGCATTCTGATCACATAATTGTTGGAAGCACAAAATAGTGAGCAGCAAACAAGCACCAAGTGAGGAAAAGATGTCCGGCTGAATCCATTCCCGTTCTCTTATACATTAAAATTAATCAATTTGCTGAATGACGTCTGAACAGAATAGAATCTGGTTGAATGAGGTGCAAAATCACCATTGAGAAGAGATTCGCTTACGATAGAAACAAGTGTGGAACTACGAAACAAGCGAATAAACTAACTGTTCCATGAAGCCACAGCAAAGTCAATTTTATTATGTACAATATGCATGTGCAAACCATCCCATAAAGTAATTCAGCACGTCTTGAAGCAAAATCAAGTTAGGTACTTAACAACTTAAAGGTTAGGTTGATAATGTGCTTGACGCATACTTCCTTGGACTCTGACGGAGACTGACTAACCATGGCAATCTGCTTACTCCACTCGGAAGTTGACTTGATCCACAGGCATTTCTGGTTTTTCAACCAATTTCGTATGTCTTCGGGTTGTCTCCGAACCGTATAATTACCAGCTTCTCTGGATTCAACGTAATATTTGCAGGCCAGAGTAAAGATGAGCGTACTTTTCTGATGTCGCAAGGCGAAAAATTGCAATAAAACATTAGCAAATGCATAAATGTACCATAAAACATCTAACAAACATGCATCTATATAAGAGTCTTAAGCGCAGCCAAAAGCCAAATTAAACAATGCACAATACTGGTTAGTGTGGGTTTTCGCGTCTAAGTCACCAAGTTCAGGGATAGTTATTGAAAGCGCTCCACGGACCTTAGCTAAATCTTGTTGAGTAAACGATTAAACTCTTATTATTTAAGATGCTAGACTTGAATTGTTGATACTAAAGTCTACCAAAATGGGGAAAAGCGAAATTGCCCATTTGGAGGATGATCTTTATGCAGTTGTTTGCTTTCTCATTCAAAGGGCATCACTATGAACGAGTTTAATGTAGTAAAGACCTGTCTGTTGTTATCCCTTTTCGACCTTTCCATAATCAGCTCGAATTTCCATATAACAAACAGAAATAGACCACAAGATACGCGTGCTCTTTAAAGTGGTTAGTGCAAATTATCTTCATCTTTTATGACACAACTTAAACTGTGGTGTTCAAGCCTTGCCGGTTTATAGGTAGCATATTCACTCATTTTTGAGTCAAGCATGTCTTTGCTTTGACCGATAATTGCTGTAAGTTTGTGATTATTCGACTAATGAAATGAAGGCCTCAGCAGTACTCTGGTATGCAGTACCGACAAGTAGCTTCCGCTTCGTACGTGGGCTAAGGATACGGCGAGGGTCGCCTGTTCCCTACTCTGGCTCGAAACTGAGTCCTCGGATTACAAGGCAGGCTTGTGATCCTTAAGACCACGAACTGATAATGGTAAGTAGGACACTCCAGGTACTGCTTCATTTCCCGTAAGCTTGGTTTAGCTTCTAAGAGCTGAAAGGAAAAACGTAAAATGGTAAAAGATGCTGCGAACGTTAACAACTGCTTTACATCTTAACATCTGTTCGAATGATTGTGCTCACGGAAGTATGTACAGTTCGCATCCGGTCGCACAGGTTTAACACTTCTCTCTTATGCGAATTTAACACTCGTCGTTTGGTCGCGCACTAACAAATTTATACTCATTCTACTCTGGTTTATCAACTCTATCCATTGGGTGACGGCAGTGGACTGTCCTTACCAATATCTAGCTGCGATATAGCGCGTCTCATCTACCACAGTCATACTCGTTTTGAAAGTGCAGAAACAGGGCGGGCCCCCAGTGGCATAAGTCGCTGGCTCGTGAAAGTAAGCTGTTTTGTTCGAATCCGGCAGGATTCGTTGAGTGTGCGGCACTGTAGAGACTCAATAGGAAAAAGCGGCTGGCTGGCGCTTTGCTGGATGTATGGAGGCTGTCAGCCTGAGGTTAGCTTCGATGAATCTTCACAAATACTTTATACGCTTATCCATCCTACCAGCTTCAGAGGCCATGTTGATAAAACCCATGCACGCAACTAGCCTGCCTTCCATGTATACACAGGCCAATGTACTCTATTGGAAAAGGTACAATCAGTAAGCACTTTCTCTTCCCTATCTGACACTCAGCGCAGTAGGTTCAGCCATTTTTGAGAGCGCTAGCTATGTACCAGCACTTGCATCTCTGATCCTAACAACAGGCTGCTAATGGCGTCGACTGAGCCCTTTTAACCTAGTCGACCGATTCACCTCTGTATATGTTCTTCAAAGACTTCATAGGGTTTCATTCAACTCTCTAGCCAGTTGGCTAGCTGGGTTGTTGTCCGGTAGCTGAATGCTTCTTGATCTATGTTAGGGGGAAGAAGTATAGCACCAGGCCGGATTGATTGGGTGGCAATGAGGCGAGCATTGTATTGACGACTTTTGCAGCTACAGCTAGTGACGCGGAGCTTCGGATGTTGTTAGATTTTTCCACTTGTTGCTAGTTCGTGATTTATACTTAATTGCTTCAAAAGACCTCTAACCCAACCGAAGGAAAAATCATAAGTCAGCTGACTATGACAAAATAATGCGTTAACCACTACCAAAGACACTATACAAAATAAGCAGAACTTCTCCAAAGTTACCGGTCACTTAATGACCTTCGGCGCATGGAAAAGGAAGGACAATTAGCAAATGTTAAAGTGCTTATCGATCAAACCAATTTTCAAGAGGCTGCCAGTCAGACGCAAGCCTTTGAACATTCCAGAATGTTCAATATCAATACGATAGTCCGTAACAGTGGATTAATCGCTGAAATAATGGCGTTTTCAAGAAATTAAGCTTTGTTCATATGGTTCCCTTCCGAAAACGGCGTCCGTGGTATTTGATGAAGTCGTTGGATTAACTTGTAGTCTACTGGGCGGTGTTCTGTATCTGTTACTCCATCGCCTCAGCTGACGTGCTCGAGAAGCGGGTTCTGGGGTCTGTGCTTTGGGTTGTTTCTTGACTGACGGTAATTGTCCAGGAGCCTCTTTGGAATTTTGTAGCTTTCCATGTAGAAGTCAACGGGGTGGTCGACGGCCTTTGCTTCTTCTGGTTGGCAGCGCGTTGACCGTAGCTGGTTTGTATGGTGGGCCCAGATTTATGTTCCCATACTCACACCAGCAATGACATTCCCGCGCTTGTTTTTGATCGTGCCGGGGGTCCGCTCTGCGTGTTCTTCCCGATAGTCACGTGCTAGCACTTGCTGTTCCGGCATGAACAACTGTTGTTTTGCTCTATGCCGTTCCATTCTGCGGTTTCTTCCACCAACAGAGGGATCTGAGCGCGGTCAACTGACATCGAATGGTATACGAACCTATTTTTTCAGCATAGCCTGCGCTGGCGAACGTTTATCTGACGCTTGTGTATTCAGTGTTCATCGGTACGGGACGAGGATTGGGTTGAACACCTTCTCTATACGTTCCTCACTTTTGATTTGAAGAGTGCTCACTTGAACGTATCCACGAACCTCTCTGCCTTGATATTCGACTGTGGGTGGAGCGGCTGTGAGCAAACGTGTTGGACAACGCATTTCTGGCAGAACTCCGTGAAAGTTGCTTATGTGAATTACGTGCCATTTTCAGTTACAAGTGCATTTGGACAGCCGAACCTGCTGAAGATTTAACGCAGTTTTGATAAAGTAGCACTGGTTATTATAATATTTATGAGCAAGATTTCAGACTAGTTGCTATAGGAGTCGACTGCGATAGGGAAACTTTGGCGGTTGACGGGTCCTGCGACTTCGACATGGATACGGCACCGTATTTTTGTGGGCTTTTGTCTTATAAGGTGATCCGCTTTTTGTGGCCCTTTTATGACGTTGGCATACGTTTGGCAGTGTTTATCCAGTTTTTCTAGCTCTTTGTCCATGTAGGAACAATACACATAGCCACCAGCAAACGTCTTCATTCAGTTGATCCCATGATGTCTGGCATGAAACTGCCGAAGTACGCACTCTTGAAGGGCTTTGGGAATGACAACTCTTTCCGAAAATAGTACGCAGTCGTTCACAATAAGGAGTGAACGTCTCCTTTGGAGGTACCACTGAAACTCGACTGATAAACATGAACGCGGCCAGCTGATTCCGTTGAACTATGTGACCTTCTTGACTACCGGGTCCCGAAACCTTTCCGTACATAAAACTTTTGAGGCAAGTTCTAGCTAATGCAATGACTCCGTCACAAGAAAGTTGAGGTCAGATTAGATCTTGACTGTGGCAATGACTGTATTCACATGTACTTGCTGACGGGCCGCAACTAGGCATGATAGTGCATCCGCTTGGTCCAGAGCACCTGTTGACCGGTAATATATCGCGAACTCGCACCCCATTCGAGATAGAACCCATCGTTATAGCCGACTGGTTGCGTAAGCCAGAATGCCCTTATATGAACGAAAGATAACCAGTAAGGGCTTGCGTTCTACCCAAGGCGTGAGGCGGAAGCCGTGCAGCATGTTGTGAAATTTCTTAACAGCAAACATTGTGGATAAGGCTTCGTTATCGATTGGGCTGTACATCTGCTCGGCTATTTTAGTGCCCTAGCGGCATGAGCGAGCGCTTTTTGAGATTGCTGCATGGATCTCATGGTTTGGTACACCTGTAGCGAGGACAATTCCCTTGGAGTGATCAAACTGAGACAAAAGTAGGTTTGAAATCAACAAAGACTAGCCACGTTCAAAAGAATTCTGGCATTCTGACGTACAGTTCCACGGTTGGCCTTTGGTAAGGAGCTTGTTCAGCATGGCACGCAGGCGATGCAGCTCAAGAAAAATGCGCTGTACTGACTGATGAGACCACAAAAGGGACTCAAGGATTATAGGTCTGTTGGCGGAGACACTTCCCTTATGGCATTCATGTTCTCTGGGTCTGGTCAACGTCCATCCTTTTCAAGGATAAGACAGAGGTATCTGTTGGTCGGCTTGCAAAGGTGCATTTACGTTCACTGATCCGGAAACCATATGAATGGATACAACCATGCATTTCATCCAACCGATTAAATAACTCCTCCGCTGTTCGAACCCTCACAATGATGTTATCCAGTTACGCTTTGGCTCTAGAAACACCAGTGCGCATGGTTTCCATCAATTGCTGGAAGATGCTGGTGCCTTTTTCACACCAAGATAAACGATTGTACTGATGTAGCCCACGATGAGTGTTGACAGTCGACAGCCCTCTTGAGTCTTCGGCAACACCCAGTTGAAGGTAGGCATCAAATAGCTCAAGCTTGGCAAATCACTTACCACCATTTAACTTTGTAAAGATGTCTTCCGGTATGCCTAAAGGGTACTGGTAATCGTCAAGCGCAGCGTTAAGGTCAGTTACGGAATCAGTACAGACGCGTACCGTGCCATTTAGTTTCATTACTGCGACAATGGGTGCGGTCCATGAAGACCAGTTGTAAGGTGTGATGACCTCGGCTTGTTCTAGTCGATCGAATTCTTGGTCATAGGTTGGTGTGACTGCGTACGGGACCAGTCATTTAGCCCTAAAGACTAGTTTGGCTTATGGGCGCAGACACAGCGTTGCTTTGAAGTTTGTGCAATGAGTTAGGCCGTCTTGAAATACAGAGGCACATTTTTGATTCAGCGA